ATGCATCATCAAATTTGCTGCTCACAAAGCCCCTGGGAACAGGCAACACCGACATGGTTCCCATTTGACAGATGGGCAAACTAAAGTCCGAAGAAGTTATGTAACTTGCTTGGAGTCACACAGCTGGTAAGTGACAGGGCTGGGCCTTAAACCTAGTTCTCCAGGCTTCAATCTCGGTGATATTGTTACATAACGTCTGCTGCTAAGAGAGCTAAATAAAACTAAATAAATGTCTTAGAGCAGTGATTAGAGTGTCAGACTTCTCAAAATTACATATCCAAAACAAACTGGACCAAGTTGAAGGTCAAGAAGTACAGAGTCATATGATAGAAGGCACTCTTTTAACAGCTCTATGCTGCAAGTCTGCAGATTCCCACTCTCACTCACCTGTTTTTCCAGCAAACACACTGCTAAAGGATGGGCTTAATATCATTCACAAGGCCTGAGATAAGAACATTTCAAGGTCTTGCCACTGCCAGTTTTGATGCCAATTAGCAGCATCACTGAGTAGCCACGAGATTCTGGGCCCGAGGGAGTAAGGGGGATGGTACAGAAATGAAACAGAAAATGCCCTCCCGTCCTGGGCAAGCCCGCTGAACAGCTCCCCCAAAGCAAACAAGATGCGTTCAGAGCCAAGGTCATCGTCACGTTCCTCTAAGGAAAATGGGAACTTCTCTGGGAGCTCTATTCCTGGAAGGTGTACCTGTCATTGGCTGTTGCTCCATTTCTTATGAGTCATCAGTCGTTTTAGCCTGATTTTATTTAATTCACTTTGCAGTTTCTTCAATGGATGAAAGGAATTCATTTTAAAAGTCTCTGCAGCAATGTTAAGAGTTGCGAGCTTCCGAGTCTGTGCAAGCTACCTACCATTTTGGGCAGTCTGTGTGCATTGTTTCGTCTCTGTGCCTGGATGTAGAGTACCACTAAAACATTCACCCTCATCGAAAGAGGCGGACTCCCTAAAACCCAAGTGAGAAACATGGCTTTTACAACTGGTTATTCAACTTCTTATTCCAGCATAGCAGAAAACCAAGGCACACGCTCTGCTGCCAGGCTCATTAATGAAATGGGTTTTACGCCCAGGAGCTGAATGGGCTACCTCGGCCCTGAGACAGTGCATTTCGTGGCAATCACACTTTACCAGATAATGAATCAGCAGATTGCACTGGTGGCTTGTTTCATTTGCTTTGGATAGGATTGGTCTTGCCACCACATCATTCTTCTCGTTAAAACTTAGTGGAATGTTTTCTTTTCCACTTCTCAAGAACTACTACTTTTTGGTGGGGGTGAAACAAAGCCCCAAGCCTTGTGAGGGAAACGGAGACTAACAAAATAGAATGTGACACTGTAGAGGAAACTTCAGACCACCCAGCCAACTACTGAAAGCCAGAGACTCAGCCCAGGCTGGGAACAGATCCAGGATCTTGCGCTATGAAAACAATATCGCAATTCATCAGCATAACTCCAGCAGGTAGCTCTCACTCCCGAGGTGGACCAAGGCTAATTAAGTTGCCAGATGCACTAACCACGGTAAGCATTTTAAAAGGCACATTCTCACTCTGAAAGAGCCTGCTCTCCCCACCATTCTGGATATAGGCATAACTGCTTCCAACCTTCCCCAGAATGCTTGGCAGCCCCTGGAAAGAGGAAGAATGCTCGTTAAGAATAAGAGAGTATCATGTTCTCTTAATGCTGGGTTTTTCAACAGTGGCACCATTGACATTTGGGACCAGATAATTTCTTGCTGTGGGGGTGTGTTGGTTAGCAAGGTGCCATCACTATGTACCACAAACTGGGGGTCTTAAAAGAACCGGGGCTTATTCTGTCATAGTTCTGCAGGCTAGAATTTTGAAATCTGGGCATCAGCAAGGTTTGCTCCTTCTGAGGGAGAATCTGTTCCAGGCCCCTCTCCTAGCTTCTGGTGACAGCCAGCGATCCCCGGTGTTCCTTTGCTCGCTGACGCACCATTCCAGCCTCAGCTTCCATCTTCTCATAGCTCCCTGTATCTCTGGGTCTTCGCATTGCAGTCTTCTAATAAGGACACCAGGTATATTGAATTAGGGACCCACTAACTCCAGTATGACACTGTCTTAACTAATAACTACATCTTAATCCACCCCACTTTCAAATAAGGTCACATTCTAAGGTACTGAGGGTTAGAACTTCAATGTATCTTTTGGGGGGCACACAATTCAACAGAGCGGTCTCCTGGACAATATAGAATGTTTAGCAGCACCCCAGTTGTGCTCACTACGTCTCAGCACTCTGCCTGTCATGACCATAAAAAACACCTGTAGACATTGTCAAAGGTTCCCTGCAGCCAAAATGGCCACTGGTAGAGAACCACTGTCTTTGGATCAGAAAGATAAAGCTTAATGCTAATTCTGTTTTAATTTAGTCAAACTCTCTGGTCCTTCGCTTTTTCTCACCCATCTCCTAAGAGTTGCAGTGTTGCTCAGGCCTGACTGAGATAGTATATGAAAAGAGTTTGCTGCATAATGAGATGCAATGAATGACAACTATTATCTTTTGTAAACTAGGGAAGGTCCTTTTGCAGGACTCTCTGTGGATCTCAGTATTTACTTCTCTGGTATGGAACTCTAGTCCTTGTCCCCAAGAGCTCCAGAAGGCAAAGGAGTGCTCCAGGTGTGCTTATGTCCACTGCTCAGGGCAGAAAGTCCCCTTAGAGTCCAGCCGAAGCCCTCCCAGTGTCTGTGACTGTGACACCAAAGCTGCAATTAGCCATATATCACAGCCAAAAAAAAGGAAAGCTCTGAGTATGACCAGAATGTTAATGTGGCTGCATGGCACCATGGACAGTATCAGCCCAAGTGACCACTAGAAAATTCACTGGAGGAGACGGGGATGTGGATGAAGAAGAGAGATGCTTCTTAGTATTGGCTATGGCATACATACAGAGACCTTACCTCTCTTGCCATGACAAGACCATCTGAGATCCCATACTAGGTGTTAATTATAGAACACACCACACTGAACTGTGATTGGTGAGTCACTGGTCTAGCGCACTCACCAGAGTCGGGGAAGAATAGCAACAGCATCTTATTCATGAGTATTCCCCCACCATGTGCTCAAAATGGGTGCCTATCCCATAGTAGAAACTCAGTAAAAGTGTACATGTTTAATCAATGGGCCACGTTTCATCTCCACAGTCTCTAGCCTACAAAATGGCATTTTTTAAGGCCCTAATACAATCTAAGCCTACATGTCATGGATCTTGGGAAATCCCGTATTTTTCACATCTCTTGTCAAGTAATTTCTGGGTTTTCCCAAGGAAGGCTACCATGTTTCACAAATCTGTTCTGGTTGACATGTAACCCTTTCATCAGTCAGCCTCCTGCCTGTTTCCTGTTTCTTTTAATTGGCTTTTGCTGCTTACTCCATATAATTTCCACTCAAGTGTGGACGCCACCCCAATTTCCCAATGCACCTTTAAGAAAAGGCTTATAGCATTTAACAGATCCCTTACCAAAGACTGACAGCCATGTGGCAACACAAGTCACTTTCAACTGCTACTCTCACAGCTACTCTCAAAGTCCCCTGATCAATATATGACTTCATGTCTCTGCCCATTTCCCCTTTCATCAGGTGGGTTGGAATGGGAGAGCACTCCACCTCCTCACAGGAATTTCCAGGCCTTCCTCTGTCCAAGGACCTACCCCCATCCCAGTTTCAGGACAGGGAAAAACAGGAAGTCTTCCCCACCCCATCTCATTTTCTATCCCAGGATGACTGACCATAGAAATTTGCCTCCTTTGCAAAGAAAAAAGATTGGCACCTATTTCCACTCCCCAAAACAATCACTATATTCATCAATAATTTCTCAAATGTGGGTCTATTCTGTCTTAAGAATAATGAGAACCATCACTACTGCAGCCCAGGTAACACTATACTCAGCCCAGTCCTGAGACTCTGCATAGTTTTTCCCCTAGAGTAAGATAAAGGGAAGATGAAGTTCATTCATCCCTCCTGATACGGTCCAGTCCTATCTGAACAAATGTGGGTCACAAAAACACCCCCATTTCCCAAGAAGAAAGAAAAGCTTTCCAACATAAGAATGGTCAACTCGCATTACTAAACAGAAGATTTAACACCTCCGTTAAAGGCATTTCTATTTTAATGAGTTGACTACTTCAAGCCTCCTTCCATACGTTGATTCAATTTGTGCCTTAGGTTTAGCTGGTAAAAGAGATTTATCTAAGAGAGGACCTTTAAACTATGGAAGTGTATTGGGCATTTTTGTTTGATTTGACCAGAATCAAAAAGTTCCCAAATTTGGGGAACTCCCTTTGTACCGATCCACAGAAGCTAAGCCTGGGTGATTCTCATTATGGCCATACCTGTCACAACTCAATAAAAGTGCACAGAAGACCAGGGCTCCTGCTTTGTTTGTTTTCACACTGCTCAACTCCAAAGTGTGCTATGAACACCACAGGCATCCTTGATTTGTATATTTATTATAATCATATTCTGGCAGATGAGAATAAAGTGTCTGGAGGGAGGGATGTCTTTGTCTAATTTATACTATAAAGGCTCTGTCTGGGCTAGCGGTGGTCATGGTCCAGGCTCCCCCCACCTCCCCGCAATCCTTTATATCATGAGCTATGATAGTGATACAAAGACCACAGGTCAGGGATATCAGCTCTGCAGCGGCTATGATACTGGTATAGCCCCAGAACCTGTGTGTAATGGTTGTAGTATCTGATGGTGACAGTTTTGAGTGGAGGCAGCATGGCACATCAGTGGCTACAGCCATACCCTGGCCCACATGTTCATTGAGCTAAGCCTGCATTGCTGGATGCCTATTTTCCAGACCCGGTTTTTGAGCCTCCCCACTGATTCTGTGGGTTACTCATTATCCTTCCGATTCCATGCCTGCACTGAGCAGCTAGATACAGTGGGAGAAAGACTCAGGACCATGAGAAACTGTCCAGCAATCACACAATGTTCCCACAGTAAATTTGCTTCCCCACTTTTCATACCACTTTACATCTTTTCAGCTTTCCTTGATAGCTGTAATCTCCTCCAATATCTCCTTTCTCCAACCCCATCTTTAGCTGATAGTTCCATGCTTCATTTCACTGAAAAAATAAGAACAAATGAGGAATGTCTGTACCTGCTTGCTCTCCTTTCCCACCCACTGAAATAAATGGACCATCCCTGCTCCTGCTAACCCTTCACTGGTACAATGGAGTTCATCCCTGTATGAGTCCATTTTCATGCTGCTTATAGAGACATACCCAAGATTGGGCAATTCACAAAAGAAAGAGGTTTAATGGACTTACAGTTCCACATGGCTGGGGAACCCTCACAATCATGGTGGAAGGCAAGGAGGAGCAAGTCACCTCTTACATGGATGGCAGCAGACAAAGAGAGTTTGTGCAGGGAAACTCCCCTTATAAAACCATCATATCTAGTGAGACTATCACAGGAACAGCATGGGAAAGACCTGCCCCCATGATTTAATTACATCCCCCGGGTCCTTACCACAACACATGAAAATCAAGATGATATTTGGGTGGAGACACCGTTAAACTGTATCAATCCCTATTCGCCTACTCAGAGGACTACAGCAGGTATCTCTCTCCCCCACATCACCACTTTTCCCTTTCTGTGGAGTATTCCTGTTTCAATTAGCATCTTTATAGCCTGCTATTGGTTACTAATGCTCCCATTAGATGAAAAAACAAAAAGAGAACCTCCTTCAATTCACAAGTAGCACTCTCCTCAGAATCCCTGATATGACCCTGTACCACAGGAGAGCAACCAGCCACCAGCTGATGTTGCTTATATTGGAGCACTGCCGTCACCATCATGGAGGGGCATCAATTTGTTCTCACCAGAATAGACACATTTTTCAATGTGAATTTTCTTTATCTGCCTTAACCATCATGATTCTGACAATCTATCCATCATGGTTCTGACAATATATCCACTATTGGACTTTCTATATGCTTTGTACATACCTTATACAATTACATCACATAGAACACTGTTTCTGACCAAGGGGTCCACTTCATAGAAAAAAAATAAGGCAATTTGACAGATGCCCATGGAACTTAATTGTACTACAATGAACCCTATTGCTCAAAGTCAGCTAATGGAATGGTACAATGATGCACTGAACGCTCAGGATGACTGATATGGGAACGCAGTCCTATAGGATGCTGCATAGGCTCTGAGTTGGCAGTTAATACGTGATACTGTATCTACACAGTCACACACACAAGACAATGAACCCAGGGGTAAAAGAGTAGCTTATGTCCCAGATGTGGCTGTGTCAAATAGTAGCTGAGTCTAGCAATGACAGCAATACACCGTAGCAATGAGGCCCATATCCCGAACCACTTTTCTCTACTGAAGCCAACTTCGGCTTCTGCCCATTTTCCAAGTGGAATTCTTGAGCCTTCCCTATAGCTTTGTAAGATAATGTGCTTCCATTATTCTTCCAAAAATTCACTTTTCAGCCTAAGGTATTCAGCCTTGGTTTCTATTGCTTGAAACCAAGCACCCAGACTGCCATAGAAGGCTCTACACAAAGATAATTCAGAAACTACTTGCAATCCCCAAAACCATTTTTCAGCTTTCAAAAATGTAACATTCAGTCTTTGCTAAGCATCCCATTACAAATGTATGAATGTGAGAATAAATGAACTCCAGCCTTCGGCTCTCCAGAGTAGGTAACTACACGTTAAGAACCCCAAACAGTGAACCTGAGCTGCTTACTTCCTTATACTGCTTGATCTGTTAGTTTTGCCAGCCATAAAAAATGATTCCTGGCACCAATCAGCAGCAGAACAAAGTAGGAAATTTGGATTTACTGGATTTTTTCCTTTGGAAGTGAGGAATAGGTGAAAGATGACACCTTTCTGATTCCTAAACCATTTACTGATTACAAGAAATTCTTAGATTAAAATCAGTATCTTTAAAATTATGAGACAAATTGATGTAATATCTCTCTATCATGCTTTTACCCTCAGAGGCCCACTAGGATGAAAAAGTGGAACCATATAAAACTTGTGCATCACAATTTGCACATATTTTGACCTTTTTTCATCTCCCTACCACTACCATCAAAGCACTAAAAATAAAATACAATAAATCTATGAAAGAACACAGGATCCCAATCACCATTACCTTTTGGTGTGCAGGATAAATGGCTTTGGTGCTCATTAACACACTTAGAACAAAAGCAAAAGGCAATTTAGAAAAAGACATTCTCTGTCCCCCCACCCCCTACAGGAATATTCATGAGAACAGCCCTCTGACACCTACAACACTCTGCTTCTTTTGATATGCTCATTTCATGGCAGTGCTTTAAAATGTAGGTTTTCTTATTATTTAGCCAGCAGGTTATGGGACAACTGCCATTGAAAAGATTATTTATCACCCGTAATGCCTGAGAAGGAGGCATCCTACAAAGGGCCATGTGGGAAATACCAGGTGGGTCAGGAGGCAAAAGGAACAAGGGGAAGATGTGGGCAGGAGCTTTTATTGTAGTTTGCACAGGGAAGGCAAGGCAGGGTAAGTAGTTTATAATTAACTTTGAATAATTTCAGTGGGCTCTGGAATATGAGAACTGTCTCTAGTTGTCTGGTACCTGGCCCTAGGATGATTAGAGCAGAGGAATTTTGCCTCTTCAAGTGTAGGAGCCATATAGAGAAGGTGGTTCAAAGTATGAGCTCCAGATTGGTTAGTTAGTTTGCATATATAAGGCACACTTCTGGACGAGTCCTTTGCTATCTCTATAATTAACTAGTCCTAGAAAGGGCAGTCACTTCCCAGGCAATGAAGCCCCAGATGCCAAAGCATCAAGAGTACAGAAAATAAGAAAATATTAATACAAGCAATGACACTTGGAAATTCCCAAAGAGCCTTCTGAAACATCCAAGGATAGGCTAAATCTTATTCATCATGATTTTGGCAGTAAGACCATGACTCTGAGGATTCCTTGAGTTGCCAATGACCAAAAACAAAACAAACTAACACAAAAAAACTGCCTAAAACAGGAAAAGGGGATGTTGGCTCACAGATCTCAAAATCTAGGAATATGGCTGGTTTCTGCCATGTTTGATCCAGGTGTTGTTGGCCCAGTTCTTCTACATTTCTGGCTCTTTTTCTCCAGACCCTTCCTCACTGGGCCTGCTTCACTATGGCAGGAATGCAGGGGCACCAAGCTTACATCTACCACTGAATTCAGAGCAAGAAAGACAAGGTCATTTCCCCAGAATTTCCAGCAAATGTCATCCTGATTCCCATTGGCTCCGAATGGACTACATCACCATCCCTGAACCAATCATTATGGCTGGGAGATGGCAAGCTCCCTGTTTACTTAAGCCAATTAGGTCCAGCCCTGGAACCAAGGTTGGAGCCACCCAAATGAAACTGCCAAGTTTGAAATGGATGAGGGGTGCTTTCCTATGGGAAGTGTGGAAAACTGCTACCAGCAGGAAAAGAAAGTCATGATGGATTTCAGACATATGATTTCTACTAAATATATGCAGCTTTGTATTACAGATTTGTCGATATTAATTACATACATGTGTAGTACTTTTTTTTGTTTTTTTTTTGAGACGGAGTTTCGCTCTTATTCCCAGGCTGGAGTGCAATGGCGCGATCTCGGCTCACTGCAACCTCCGCCTCCTGGGTTCAGGCAATTCTCCTGCCTCAGCCTCCCGAGCAGCTGGGATTACAGGCACGCACCACCGTGCCCAGCTAATTTTTTGTATTTTTAGTAGAGACGGGGTTTCACCATGCTGACCAAGATGGTCTCGATCTGTTGACCTCGTGATCCACCCGCCTCGGCCTCCCAAAGTGCTGGGATTACAAGTACTTTGTTTTTTTAATTTAAAAAGATTCAGAATCCAGTGCCCCTGGCAGAATCCTGATAATTCTATCCTCACCCCTCACAATTAATGTGATGCAGTCATTAACTGTTCAATTGTTAGAGGCTGTTTAATTTCACCAATAAATTTTCTGCATTTCAAAAATAATATATCCTATTAGTGAAGATTGGAATTACACTATTTCTTGACACAAATCTATTTTGTATTTTAAATTTAAAAAGAATAGAATTACCAGTAAGAAACTTTGTGCCTTAAACGTATCTACCTGCTCTTGGCACTCAGTTTCTTAGAACTGACAACACCGATTGGTTTTCTTGCTGTATTTTTAAGGTAGAGTTGAGGTATGCGTGGAGAGAAAATGAAGAGAAAGTTAGACACATCTCTCACCCCAGCACCCTCAGCCAGAAGAGATTCTCTACCTCAAAGCCAGGAGAAAGGGTAGGGAACACGTCTGTAGAGATATATTTAACTGAGGAATATAGTGCTGCCTCCGTCTCCTCTGTCCAGGTCCTGTTGTTGTCGTTGTTGCCATGTCAAGGAAGAAGTCTGGCCTACCATCGAAGCTAGGGATTGGAGTGAGTAGGACACTAACATATGAGGCGGAGATGTGACTTATTTTCTATATAGAGTTATTCAATTAATATTTAAAAATTAAGTTTAACACATTATTTAACATTGAATGTTACTGGTTTATAGCAGTGGTTCTCAAGCTTTTGCATGCATTAGAATCACCCAGAGAACTTGTTGAAACCAGATTGCCAAGTGCAACCCCCAGAGTTACTGATTCAGTAGGTTTTAAGGTGGGGCCTGAGAATTTGCGCTATTAACAAGTTCTCAGATGCCTGTGATGCTGGTGCTCGGGGACCACACATTGAGAACCACTGGTGTAAGGTATGAGTTTCATTTTAGTAGTGGCTGACCTCTGTTAAAAACAAAGTTCTAAAATGCCAATCTAGCTCACAGAATTCTAAGTCCGACCTTTTGGACTGTTAAGAAAAAGCTTTAATATAAAGTGAAGCTCATGTTGTTTGTTTGAGGGGTGGGGGGGTTGTTTTGTTTTGTTTTTGAGACAGAGCCTCCCACTGTTGCCTGGGCTGGAGTGCAATGGAACGATCTCAGTTCACTGCAGACTCCACCTCCCAGCTTCAAGCCATTCTCCTGCCTCACCCTCCTGGGTAGCTGGGATTACAGGCATCTGCCACCACTCCTGGCTAATTTTTTGTATTTTTAGTAGAGAAAGGGTTTCACTATGTTGGCCAGGCTGGTCTCGAACTCCTGATCTCATAAGCCACCCTCCTTGGTCTCCCAAAGTTCTGGGAGCCACCACGCCTCACCATATTATTTTTGAGACAACCAGTGAGAAGCGGGAAGTCTACACTTCCCCTCAGTCCTAGATGCTAAATTAGGTACCATCTTTCACAATGCTTTTAAGGATCATATCAGCAAGATTAAGAGTATGGACAGAGATATTGCCTCCCAAAGGCCCAGAAAAGTTAGGGGAAAAGGCATCTCTCTGCTGTTTAGGTTTCAATCAACAAAAGTTATAAAGACTGGTTTTGAACCTGAGGCCTTGAGAGCTCAGTTTACAATGTTACCAATGGGAAGGAAAATCGACTTGGTAAATAGATAAGACATTCCTCTTGCTTTGGGTCAGGAAACCTCTAGGGCCGTTTTGTATTCTGAAACTGCCTGGCTCATTACAGTGACCAATAGGTCTCTAAATACCATCAGTTTAAAAGAGACTGTTGGAAAAATTCATGATTCATTCATGCAATGAATCTCGCTTTTTGCTGGATTTATACTGCCTGAAAAGTAATCTTTTCCCTGCACTGAGCATCATGTTGTTTCTAATTCAGAAAGGTTCCAAAAAAAATGGGGGTGAGGGGGCAACACATTTTACCAGCCATGGGGTGGGGAAAATCAATATGTTTTTGCATACACATATAATTTCTATAATCTTTTTTTTTAAAAAAAAACTGAGTTTGACCTAGCTCTCCGATAGAGGATGGCAGGCGTGCAGAACCCACCTCTGTCCCCAGGCAGGGGAGAGCCTGGGCTTGATTTGTGGCCCTGGAAAGGGGCCTGTGCTTCATGAGGAGATTTTTGTACACTCCTCCGCTGTGCTGACTGACAGCATATGCTTTCAAACTGGGTGGTGATCTGGAATCCGTATAAAAAATGTGCATCCGAGGAAAAATTGCCTCTTTAAAATGGAAGCCAGAAACTTGCACTCAAAAAATGGAGCCAGAGTCCCAGAAGCCTGAGGTGTGGCCCTGTGAGATAACATGGTGGCCACTGGAGCCTCCACAGGGTCAGGCCGCACATTGGAACCCGACATACACATCTCACAGAATCCAGTTCAGAAGGGTTGAGTACACTATGGAGTGCCCCTCCGCTTCTCATCCCCCTCAGCCTACTGATCCCTGGGTGGAGACAGGCTATGGAAAGAAAGGATCCACACACTTGTGACAAGTTGGGTCAAACTTGGGAAGGCCTGTGCCATCTCCCCTTCTGCTCTGCTGCTGCATTGCAATGGGAAAATGCCGACAAGACCTTTGAAGAAAACCAGAAACACACCAAAATCATAATAGGAATGCTGACAGAAGGTGACTTTTGTTCCAAATGTTAACTTTTAATTCACCACTAATAATTAGGGGAATGATGTTTTGATATATGATTGTAATGTGGAATGAGTAAAGCAGGCTAATTAACAAATCTACCTCCTCGCATACAGTTTTTTTGTGGTGAGACCTTTAAATTTTGAAATATAGAATGCATTATTATTTGTGATAGTCACCACCTGTGTAATGAATCACCAAAGCTTAGTCCCCCTAACTGAAAATGTGTATCCTTTGACCAAGCCTCCCATTTCCCGCATCCCCCCAGCCTCTAGTAACCACTTTTTTATTCTCTACTTCTATGAGTTCAACTTCTTTAGATTCCACATAGAAGTGAGATCAGGTGCTATTTGTCTTCCTGTGCCCAGCTTATTTCACTTAGCATAGTGTCCTCCAGTTTCGTCCGTGTTGTCGCAGATGACAGATGTCTTTTCGAACTCCAGCACCCCCTTTAATTTCCCACCCTGCTTTCTAGTCCACCACCCACTCTACCAATGTTTCTTTTCCCCCTGCCTGAAATGTTGTTTCCTCCAGATCTGCACACAACAGGCTTCTTCTCATCAGGCAAGTCACACACCCCTCCAGAGAGGCCACCCTTACACACGCCGGCGTACCTCACCCTGTTTCATTTCCTCCATAGCACTTTCCCCATCTGGAAATACTGAGTCCCAGAAAGGCAGGGACCTAATGTGTCTTGTTGACCACTGTACCCCAAGGACTGGCGTATGGTAAGCATTTGGTAACTATTTGCTAAATGAGTGAATGAACCCTGAGGCGATTTTCAACTGGACACTATTCCAGTTTCTCTTGAATAATTGGGCCTGCCTTCTCATAGGGCCCTAATTGCACAGAGCTAAGTAGTAACTTTCCTGTTTATGATGTCAGTAATAAGGTCTTGTTTCGTGTAATTTAGGATCAACCCAGCCAACTTCAGTCATTCTGGGGCCGGCCTCGCACTGTTGGCTGTCTTTATGTGTTTGTCTCATGCATCTCTACCCTGTCCACACGGCCCTAGCGCAGTGCCTGCCAATTACACGGCGTTTCAATAGCGAGCACACTGGGTGTTGACTGTGTTTCTGTTCACTAGCACTTTTCCTATGGGAAAACAAGAGAAGTAATGAGAGATGAGGCTCCGACCAACAAATCTAGCAATGTCATGCCAGCTCTGAAAAATGCTGGAGTTGAATTAAAAGGTGAGCCTCACCCTGGACACCATTTTACCATCACCCAAAGATCAAAAAAGGGGATAGAGGTGCTGAGGAAGTTTGCGTGTTCATGCGCCTTCACAGATAATGTGCTTGAAGTGAGATCTCTCGTAGCTTTCCCCATGTGTATTCTCAGCATGACATGCTCAGAATCTAGGGTGAAAATTCTGTTCAAGTGAGACAAAGTCATAGTACCTATGACATCATGTGATGTAACCAACATGGTACAGGTTTAAAGCATTAAACTCTGGCGTTTCCTGTGTCACTTCTCTTCCAGCCCACGAGTTCTCCTCCAGACTGTAGTCTGGGGGAATCACAGTCCATCTCATTCACCCCTTCTCCCTGTGCCCACTTCTGTATCTGGAGAAGTGAGAACTTTTGCTTCTGACCCTGAATTCTACTCACCTTTTCCTCCAAGTTAAAATCCTTGGCACAGGTGGTGGCCCACCTGGCTCACCTAGATGGGGTTCTCTGTCACTGGGCACCCCCAGTTAGGGCCTGTCTGCCTCTTCCCAGCTCCAGCAGCATGCTCTGGTTCCCTTTTATGCTTTCATTCTGTCTCTGAACCACATTTTCTCCACGTAATAAACGTCACAATGAATCCTTGTTCTTCCCTCCTGTGAGCCCTCCGTCCCTCTCTCCACCTGCCTCCCCTAACCCTCCATCTAGCAGCAATATTCCACGCATCGTTAAAAGGAGACAGACTCTTTCTCAGACTATGCACATTAACAGGGCCTTGGTATCTCCCCAGACCTGACTAAACAACCAGACCCATGATTTCTATGGAGATTCTTTAATCATATGTATTTTTTGTTTTTCCTTAAGTAATTTGGAGGGAAAATGGCTAAAATAAAGATGAAGGACTTTGTGGATTTTAGTTATACACTTTGTTCCTCTATCCCCAATCATGAAAGATCAAGGGTGGTCTCCACATATTAGCAATGCTGTGGTCCTGAGACAGACCCTCTGTCATAATTAGCTTCATCCTCCAGCTGACCTCTGCCACTCCCCATCTCCCAATCCCATTCACACCTCTCAGAACTAGAGCTAATAAGCTCGATTTCAGCCCAGAGAGTTTACCTCTCCATGCATCTGGTTTGTTTGGGGTTGGTTAGGGAATTCACTGTTGGTTGAAAAAGTTTTCTTTTCATTCAGAACTTTTCAGGAAACTCTTCAGAGAGTTAAACTCAATGGAGATTCTTCTCCAGGCTCTCTTCTGACCATTTCTTTTGGACAGGATAGAGGAAATACAGTGTTGTGTTTAAGAAAGCAAAACCCAGTTGCTGAATAGTGAGAGGAGGCCAGGAGGCTCTTCCACCACCCCAAACAGCATTAAACAGACTTTACCAAGGAAGGGGAGGGGAGTCTTTTTCTGATGGTCCATGGCTACTGTGGAATTGCACTCCTACGCATCGTCTCCTCCTCTCTGCCAGTCCTGGGCAGCAAACAACTGTGGGAACGCTTTCTGCCCAGCACGCCTCTTCCTTCAGCTCTAGCCCATTTCTCTCAGGAGTTTGATACTCCACTTGCTTCCCTGAGATGTGTTTCCCTCTTGTGATGTTGACTTTCTTGAAAGTAAAAGGCCCTTTTCTGTAGGGCTGTCAGCCCTGCTGACCTCTCTGAGACACACAGGCCACAGATGTCTGCCGTGTGCACACAGCCACGCTGCCACACAAAGTCAAGATTTACTGCTCTGGAAATGTTGCCTCTTTCACAGATTTATTCTTTGAAAAATGAGAGATTCCCCTCCTGGGATGGACCTGAACGGGGTTGATGGGGTAGAGAGAAAGGCCTACATTGCCAGGAAGCCCACCCAGGCTCCAGGCATCTGGCAAAAGGTGGCAGGGAAGGTTAGGAAGGGGGCTAATAAAAGGGGAAGAAGCAAATATAAATTGCAGAGATTGGAGAACTGGAAATGCCGCTTGCCCTTGTAGAGAGCCAAGGGTTTAGAGCCATTGTGAAGATTCAGATGCTTCAAGGAATTTATAACAACATCTGGTCCATCTGCAGGTGGACTTTTAGTACCTAGGTAGAAAAGCTCCTATTTCAAGAAACAGAAGCTGCAGAGCAGTGAATCTCAAGGTGGGGACGATAGCTTAGTAAGTTACCTGGGGAGCTGTACAAACTATGCATGCCCAGATTCTAAGAGGCCTGTCAGAATCAGCCAGGTCAGCTCGCATGGCTTCCAAAGCTCCCAGTGTTTTCATTACCATTACTATAGACTGTTCCTCGTATATATTTTAATTCTTCGGCACAGGCTGACACACACAGGTCCATGAAGGAAGAGAGCTGGCTCTGACACATGCAATATTTGGTTGATATGCAGCTCCAGCTGCCTGAGTGAGAAAACCTTGAGGAAAGCGAGCCCAAAAATCTCCACAGACGTCTGGGAAGGAGTCAGGGCAATGTTTCAGCACACCCTGAAGAGCTCTCAATCTTCTTGCTACTTGCAACTGCAGTCTCTAAAGTTGTCAAAAAGCAAATGCAATCTGGGATAGCATCGCTGAAGAGTTTGGTGTATGACCCAGAGGGCAGTGCAGTTCTGCTGCCCAGGCCCCATCAGACCACCCAGAGAGGAGAGCCTGTTGAGTTCTGAGTGCATCTTCGTAAGAGGGATGGTGATGAACTGGAACTCACCCAGAGAACACTAGCACACTGCAGGGACTGGAGGGCTGTGACATGAGCAAAAGGAAAGGGATGATCAACAAGGAATGTAGAAGGTCGAGAGGAGCAGCACAACAGCCTTCCAAGCACTAAAGGGGCCAGGCTCACACCTACAATCCTAGCACTTTGGGAGGCCAAGATGAGATTACTTGAGGTCAGGAGTTCGAGACCAGCCTGGCCAGCATGGCAAAACCCTGTCTCTACTAAAAATACAAAAATTAGCCAGGCATGGTGGTGTACACCTGTAGTCCCAGCTACTGGAGAGGCTGAGACACAAAAATTGCTTGAACCTGGGAGGCAAAGTTTGCAGTAAGCTGAGATCCTGCTACTGCACTCCAGCCTGGGCAACAGAGTAAATCTTTGTCCAAAAAAAAAACACTCTGAAGGGCTGTGCAGGAAAATTGGAGGTTATTCTGTTTAGCTACAAAAAGGAAAAAAGGGGAAAGAAAGGAAAAGCACTATGATAAGCATGTAACAAATGTCACCTGTCAGTTCTCACCACAACCCTATGAGGTAAATGCTACCATACCCATTTCTCAGACAGGAAAACTGACACTTAAAAAGTTAAACCAGACATGGTAGGGCACACCTGTAGTCCCAGCTACTCCAGAGGCTAAGGTGGGAAGATTACTTGAGCCCAGGAGTTCAAGTTTAGGCTGGGCAACATAGTGAGACCCCATATCTAAAAGAATCACAATAATAATTTTTAAAATTTTTAAGTTAAAGAATTTATCCAAGGCAGCCAGTTTTCAAAGAATAACAATTTGATTCCAGTCTGTATCTAGGTGACTCCCAGGCCTATTCTCCCCATTACTCCATTTTAAAAAAACAGCCTTGGGAATAAAATTTAGAGAAAAGATGGTGACTCTGCATAGGAAAGAACTGTAGTAGATGCATTTTGGTGCCTCACTCTAGCCCCTTTGCCTAGGTTTTCTCTGGTACTGCATCCATCTCCCCAGCAACTGAGTGAAGAGTGTTGGCTGATAAACCCTCTCAGCCCCATTCCTGGGAGAATCCTCATCAAAAGACTAGCTCCCTGCTCACTCCAAACACCCCCACACTGCAACCATAGCCAATGACTATCACAGAGGTACAAAAGGCTGGACCCCCTGCCTTGCAGACGAATCAACTCTGTGGTGCACTTTGTGCTCCAGATTTCCCTGTGAGATCAGACTGCAGCTAGTGCCCAGGGGCAATCTCATTACATACTAATTTCCTTGCCCTATTCATTCTCCCGAATGCACTCTCCTACTTACAGAAGAATCCCCATCTTGGGCTCTGCTTCTATGGAAACTCTGAGGTGCTTTACCCGCTTTGATTTTACAATTCAAAGAGGATAAGTCACCTAGAGGTTTCATAGCCTCTTTTGATTTTACATTCAAGGTGTCTGAAGGGTGTAAGTTTACAATGAAGAAGGAATGGGAGATTGGATTAGTCCATTCTTGTGTCACTATGAAGAAATACCAGAGGCTGAGTAACTTATTAAAGAAAAGAGGTTGAATGGCACACAGTGCTGCAGGGTATACAGGAAGCACGGTGCTGGCATCTGTTTCTGGTGAGCACCTCAGGAAACTTACAGTCATGGCAGAAGACGAAGGGGGAGCAGCCAGAGAGGGAACAAGGCAGGAGGAGGTGCCATACTCTTGTAAACAACCACATCTCTTGGTAACTCACTATAGTTCACCAAGCCATTCATGAAGGATCTATCCTTATGAACCCAAAACACTGGGGATTACATTTCAATATGAGATTTGGAGGGTACAAATATCCAAACCACATTAGAGATGAATGATAAAGCAGGATGAGAAAGGGTGCACTCAGGCTCCTGCACGGTCCTTGCCCTACAAAGATGCAATCCTCAAGACTCCTAAGAGAAGTGTGACCAAATGAACCCCCACCTAGGCCTCACACCCATGGCCTGAGACGATTTATAGTTACAGCACAACTTTATTTTCAGATAAAGTTTCTACTTAAATTTCAGAAAAAGTTTCAACCTGGGGTCAAAAAAGAAGAAAATTTTAAAAAACGGAATACAGTCAAGTACAACCATTCCTTGCGAATATAAATACCAAATAGAAATTGTCTCCAGTTCCCTTTCTTCCTGTCACTCATGGAGCAACAGAATTTGCTATTAAGCCAAGCTTGATGTATATGGTGGTATGCAGTCTGAATATGGAATGGGACTTGGGGCGCACATGAAGATACGCATCTCCAATCCTCCTTCAGTGAAGAACGTACTGCCCCAGCTGCTGGAAGTGCTATTAGCAGAAAGCCTTCCACCTTCAGTCTTCAGGGACTGCCTCGGCTGCAGACAGCTGCTTCACCCACGGCCAAGTATCTGTCTACGTGGCCCACATCCAGTGACTGATCCACACAGGGATATAAGGGCTATCTCAGCCCAACTTGGGATTCGGGCCTGTTTGGAATCCCCTGTGGGCTAGAACTGGTAACTTGTTCCTAATAAAGAATGTTGCAAACATGATAGAAGGTCATTCCCATGACTAACTTACAAAAAAGGTGACTGCCATCTTGCCTCCTCTCACCTTCTCTCTGACTGACACACTCACTTGCCCTTCCAACAGTTCACTGTGTTGTGTGATGCTCAATGGTGAGGCCCAGATGGCAAGGAACAGAGGGGAATCTCCAGCCAACAGCTTGTAAGGAACTAAGTCTTCCAGCCAATAACCTATGAGGAAATGAAACCTGCGGAGGACCACACGGGTGAGCTTGGAACAGATCCTCCCCACTCTATGTGAGACCTTAGCCCACAGCTGACACCTGCAATCAGCGGCCTTGTGCAGTTACGTCCCTGAGACAGAAGGCCCAGCTAGGCTATGCTCAGATTCCTGACCCAAAGAAGTAGCGAAATAAGTTTTATGGTAAATGTTATTCAGTAATAGAGAAGTGATACAACCATGAAGAGCCATTTTAGCTCCAGAGGTCCCCAAAGGGTCAGCTGTGGCTGCTGTTGGACCTATATGGGAGTATGACATCTTCTGACATCTTCTAACCAAATATGCTCCATCTCCCCTCCTTTGCATGGGTGTTGGTGCCAAGAGCATTCTGTAACAAACATCCTGAAAGCCAAACTCCATCTCTGTCTGTTTCCTGGAGACCCTAACCTGTGACAGGGTTCATCCAATAAACATCTCCTGAAATAACTGCAGCCTCCAAACACAATTTCCATTTAATAACAATCCCTAAAAGAACGAAACTCAATTCAATTCAACAAGTACAGCAATTTATCAAGGACGGCAGTGAACAAGCAGACAGATGTTGTGGGAAGACTATCGTTAAACACATAATAAGATATGAGCACAAGTCTACAGCTTCATGAGGGAAGACGACCAAGAGTAAGCATGTCCTTTTTCCATTCCCCTTACCTTTCCCCTCGTACAGCACAGGACTCGGAAAAGGCAACCATCTTTCTCTTTTGTCTCAGATGCTCTTTCTACCATGGTGCAGACCTGGGAAGCCTACATTCTCCTAGGGACACCCTCCCAGAGTGAGGCTGGAACTTCTACCCTTGGCTTGGAGTATACCAGTCAAACTCTTGGTTTGCAGTCAATTTGTGGAAACGCTCCAGAAAATAAGGTAACACCCTAGGGATAAAGAATCGGTCAGTCAACAAGCACCCACATGGAAATACAGGACCCTGGTGTCAGGGCAAAGTTGAGCATGGCCATCCCCAGAAGCGACACAAAAAAAGAGAAGCATGATGAAAAATGTCCCAACCAAAATACCAGGACATAATCCCTTACCATGAGCCAAATAAAAGTTATTACCATTTGAGGAACTATTTTATTCACTATTTTCTTCATTGTACTTAACATTACATGAATGATAGTATCCATTTTTTGTCCATTAGATGTATCCCCTTAGAACATAAGTTTCTTGAGGGCAAGGATTTTGTTTGTCCACTGCAACATATCCAGTGCCTGGAACAATCCTACCTAGTAGGAGTTCACTGAGTATTGGCTGAATGAAAGAATTAGTGAATGAATGAGTGAATTTATTCCGTGTCAGTCTTCAGATCCACAGATTCTGCTACACTTTACTAGTGAGAAGCTTTGGAGGAGCAGGGAGAAGGGTGCCCCAAGTAACAGGTGTTCAGTGCAAAAGAGGGCAGGGGATGTTTTAATACTCAGCAGTGTTTTCATTTATTACTAAAAACAAACATATGAGGAAGTACTATTATGGTGTCCATTTTGCAGATGAGAAAACTGATGAACAGAGAAGTCAAGAAGCTTCCCTAAAGTCACACAGCCAGAAAGTTGCTGAGTAGGATTTGAACTCAGACCTCTCCGACACCAAAGTGTCATCTCTTTTCACTTTCTCTACAGATATTGCATTACAGAGACTTACCGGTAGTATAATCTATTTGTTTCAACCAATGTTCACTGAGCAGCAAGGGTGCATCAGCCTCTTGAAGAGCAGGGACCAAGTCTGCCTTCACTCACTGTTCATCCCCACACCTGGAGCCATGCCTGGCATAAAGTCAGTGTTCCATAAATATTTGCTGAATAAAAACAACAGCTGTGCTAGGTGCTCAGACTACGTACAACAGCCATAATCCCTGTCCACAGTGTTTAGAGTATGGTGGGACCAAAGCCACATGGAACATACCAGAAAGGATGATCACGATTATAAGAAAATTTTATTGAGCGCTTGCTACATATAAAGTGTCTTCTAAGCATTTTTCATGGATTAAATTATTTAACACTCCCAGCAACCCATTGAAGTAGGTACTACTATTATCCTTATTTGAAAAATGAATACGCAGAGGCCCAGAAAGCCTAACTTGCCCAAGGTCACAAAGCTAGTGAGTGGTAGAACCCAAGCAGTTCAGGGCCTGTGTTCCAGTGAGTGTTCACTGTGTTGCTCTATGTGATCATGTAACAGTAAACATGAGTACCTGAATGCTGAAAATCCCTAATGTCATTTGACAGCACAAACCAGGAAAGGACTTGAATGACCCTGTTTGAAATGTAGCACCACCACAGGCACCCTAACTCCAGGCTTCGCGTATCCCCAGTGAAAGTTTCCACAAACCCTTGTCGGTCCAGGCACAACCATGAATCAGGAGCCAAGGTCATTTCTCTGTACCGCTCTGATCCATCTGCCCACTGCCCTTCCTCTGAGATCTTCCCACCCAAGGGTCTGGCAACTGGACCACATAACTCCTTGATCCCACCCACAGCTTTACAAACAGGCCATGTCTTTCCAGAGCCACTGTTCTTACGAAGACTAGGAAGTACTGGCGTTCTGATGGTACCAGGCAGGGGCTGTCTTAACCCCAAGCAGCAGAGGTAACCACTCAGGGCAGAAAGTTTCTGGAGACTCCCCTTCCTCCAGCAGCACCTGCCTGGAGTTCCTTACATGGACATATACTCAGTTTTCAAGCATAGAGATTTGGTTTCAAACTGTTGAAACTCATTCTTAAAAGGCTGGAGAGAGAACTCTTAAGCTGGTTTTCTACAGAAGTCAAAATATGGTCATGAACTGCTTTGAACATCTCCAAGGTTTAGGTATGGAGGGAGCTGTTGAAAGAAACGAGCTTTGAGAAGCTGTCTATCCTGTGCTCCTGGCCTTCCAGTGCTATGGCTCCTACATAGCTCCATCGGAACACAGAACTGCTGCTGTTTGTAAAAGCTTCTAGAAAATGAGAGGGAAGAACACACCACTGGATTTGGGTCGCACAATTCTACCCAACAACTAGCAGCCACATCCATCCAGAAAAGTAGCACATCCACCCATGACCTACCTGAGGTGCCACCCAGAGGACAGACATTTGACCATGAACTGACAGAAGAGTAGACTACAAGGACCTTTTGTCATTTTCCAGGTGGAAATGAGAATTATCTAGCAGTACTTGGTGAAATGTAGATTCTCCGCATCGCCCTGTGAAACAACTTGAATTCTGACCAGGAGAATGTGGATTAAAACTAACACCTCCAAAGAGCCGGCAAGGAGCCATCCCTGCATACAGAGCACAGAGGCAATGTGGCCAGCATATGATATCACTGCATTGGTGATTCACTCAGTATATAAGATAACAACCTGCTTTTCACAGCTTCTTTTCTTCTATAATCTCCAAAATCAAATTAAATCCAAATGTGATGTGTTGAAAGAGATCGTTAATGAACATGGAGAACAAATAGAAAAATTCAGTCTCTTTTTTAACTGCATTGAAGTGCATAATTAGAATAAGGTATAACTGAAAGTTAATTTTGGGGAGGGGAGGCGCCTTCAGTAAGGTGTGTAAGTTTGAGAGTCTACGTGACAAGATTCAATAAGAAGGGGACTTCTGGCCAGAAAAATCCTTTCAAATAACCACAATGGTAAAAAGCACTAAAGCCTCTTTCCCTTCCAAGGCATGGCTTACAGATGGCTTTGTCCTAGACTGTGTGAAAGCCAGGGCTTCACATTTGTCCAAAGAAATGAGTAACATCTTTCTTACCTTTTTGTTTTCTGAGGGGCCTAGAATTCATACAGGTTCAACATTTGCCAACACCCAAGTCTTCTGACTCCCAATCGTGTTCTCCATTCTCAGCTCCACGTGGTCACTCAAAAAAGTGGAGTGCAGACTTTATGAGTCTTTCCCCACCCTGCAGAGAATATACCCACTTGGCCAGGCAAAGAGAGGCAGCCATGGAGAGACACTCCTTGCACATCCCCCTGTACTACTCACACAATACACACATGCGTGCACATGCACACGCGTGCACACACACACACAGACATGAAGATAAGGAGATAGTTCACTAACAGGTCTCCCAGTCGTGGTCCTAAGGTTTTCTAATCTTTCACCTTAAAAACTGTAGGGATAGTGGGTGTTTTAGCAATGTACATAGCAGAAGTATTATTTTAGATAGACATGGATAGAAAGCCACCTCAGTGCTTATTTTCCCCACCTCTACACTCTATCCTTTATTCTCTTCAGACTCCATCCAGAGACAGAGAAGCAGTTCCAGAACATTTAAGAATACTCTTAGATTTTGTAAAGGTGCATTTTAACATATGTAATTATGAAACCATGTTTCATGTCTAGTTTTCATTAAGTATTCCAATTCATAACAATATTTCTCCCACTTTAAGTATAATTGACAATAAAACTGTAAGTATTTAAAGTAAAAAAAAAAAATCACCACCCCGGCAGATGGGACCACAATTACACACATACCAACACACACTCCCTCCCCATCCTCTTACTCATCAGTCTGTCTAGCAAAGTGCCCTGCTGGACGTCAGAAGTGGCTCTCTCAATGGTTCAGCTTGACTAGGCTCGACACCTAGATCACAGATGGACTGAGATGCAGAAAGTAGGTGCTGCCCACTCCCACCCATCAACACTTAGAACAACCTTTCGTGGTGAAGGGACAGCATGGGCTGTAGAGGCTCAGAACAGAACTTAGGGTCAGATGGAAGTGAATTCATACCTCGGTTCTGTCATTCTTCAGGCTACCGCACAGCTCCAGTGAGTACAATTCACACTTTCCAGCAAGCACTATTCACACTTTTACCTCCAGGCATAAGATTCAGAGAATACAAGGACCGAGCATGGTGGCTCATGCCTATAATCCCAGCACTTTGGGAGGCTGAGGCGGGTAGATCACGAGGTCAAGAGATCGAGACCATCCTGGTCAACAAGGTGAAACCCCATCTCTACTAAAAATACAAAAATTAGCTGGGCATGGTGGCGCATGCCTATAGTCCCAGCTACTCAGGAGGCTGAGGCAGGAGAATTGCTTGAACCCAGGAGGCGGAGGTTGCGGTGAGCCGAGATTGTGCCATTGCACCCCAGCCTGGGTAACAAGAGCAAAACTCCATCTAGAAATTTAAAAAAAAAAATTCAAAAAATACAATATGAATGATTACCCCCTCCCCCAATGGAGTTGTGACATGATATGGCCCTATCCACTAGCTATTAGCAATGAATTAATAGTATTACTTGAGAAAATGCTTGTCCATCCTAGTCCTCAGTTCTATTTGTAAAGTGACCATTTTAATGTCTACATCTGCAACTTATTCTAAGATTCAAATTAGATAATATATGAAAAGTGCTCAGCACAGAGCTGACACATTGAAAGCATCAATAACTAGTAACAGTGATTAGTTTGCAAGTCACCAAATCTATAATCATGCCCACACAAGAACCATCAAGGCACTCACTCTAAGAGCTTCATGGATGTCAATGACTCAGATTCTCTCAACCTTACCTATGAGCCTTACTTTATTTCCCAGCCAACCTCAATTCCAGGTAGCCTCTTACTTTACAAGTGCACATGGAAAGGAGTGAATCTGGGGAGAATGAAGCCACTATGAGACACTATGAAAAGTTTCTAATAGAATGATAAGGAGCAAAGAGTTCCTCACACTGTACCACCCATAACCTGTACTGATGGACATAGTGTTATACCACCTCATTCTTACACTAAGGAACCATCAGACCTTCACACATGCTCTCCAGGCAGGGGATTTGTAGATATAATTAACAGTGATTAACAGTTGAATACAAAGGAAAATAATCCCTTACATTTTTATCATTGTACATGTTGTCGAGTGTGCTACACAATTGATTACACAGTGGCCTTGCTCAACTGGGATTCCCAGGAGAAAGTTATCCCTAATGCCCTCAGGCAAACACCTTCATACATATGTTCATGCATATACATTACAAATTAAGTCTCTTCTGTGCATGGTACTCTCTATGCACCACCCTCAGGAGAATTGAGGAAATAATCATTTATATCATTTTCTATGCTTCATGATTCAGATGAGGGACTCGGGAGGTAGAAGGCAAGACATCATTAACTCTCCATTTACAGAGGAGAAAACTGAGTTAAGAAAGGTGACTCTTCCATAGTGACAAGACAAGTAAGTGGCACAGGTAGCACTCAGTGTTCAGACTCCAACTCAAGTACTCCCTTCTCACCAAGAGGTGGGTCTAAGAAGCATCTAAATTTAGCACGAGTATCTTTAATCACACAAGCAGGATCCCATCAACTCAGAGACTTTCAAAGAGGAAGGAATTTAAAGTTCGTCTACTGCAAAACTCTCACTTTACAGATGAGAAGACTCATTTGAATAGATACCATTATACTGTCCACGTCTCCCTAATGAAGTATGTCCACATCCCACTTAACAGTCTATATTCATATAACATTGCTAATGTAGGCACACTGGATTCTGCTAAATAAAAACGGTGAAGTGGTAACAGACGGCCTCACAAATCCTGTCTCTTCAGTATCATATTTATGTCCAGTACCCCAGCTGGCCACAAACCAGCAGTGTGACCTAAAGAAAGTCACTTCAACCTTTCTGGGCTGAAGTTCTCTCATTTGTATAATGAGAAGATTGGATTAGAGCATTTATCTTCCATTAAGGCCGCTTCCAACTCCAAAACTCTTATCTGTGAAAGTACTTCGCAAGGCCACCTACTCCAGCCACCACCTTGCTGCTTAGAGATAGCATCGCTCTAAACTATTATTTGCTAAAACCAGTCTTAGTCCCAAATCATCCTGCGTGTCCATCATACTCAGATGTCTTTGGTGAAGGCATTTATTTAAATTCTGATTAAAGCTCAAGCCAAGTTAGCTCCAGACAGACAAACCCTTCAGACATGAAAAAGATGAGTTTCCCATTCTCCAGACCCAGCCCTGAAATACCCCAGAAGCTTTGAGCGAGGAGTGATGTCTACACTCACATCTCTACACTCACTGAGCAGAATGGTCTTCCTTAGACACCTAATATTTGCTACTTATTTTGTCCCACTGAACCCATGGCTAGAGTTGCCCCAAAAGCAGTGGAATCCTCACAAAAGAATGCCCCAAACTGTTCTGAGATGGAATTTGTTTGGATTTCAGAGAAAGAAGCAGTGAACAATAAGGTGATCAATCCAAAGTATTTATTAGGGGAACTTACAGAGGGCTACAGCAATCCTGGCAATGAACGCTAAGAGAAAGTGGTGTTCTATTTAGACATGTCTGCAGGAGAGGGGCAGGGTATGGAGTTTACATGAGTGTTTAAGGAATTTGGCTCAGGTTCAGGGTCAGAGTCAGGTTTTTTCCTAGTAAACCTAGATACCTTTATCAGTTCCTGGGAATATTCAAAGCCTTGATTTGGGTTCAAGCCTGCTGGGAAAATACTGCAGCTGGCTGGGTCACAGAGCAGTCAAGACATTCCATGATTTTTGGTCAAGATACAAAAAGAAAGCAGGGGCAACTGGGGACTCTATGCTGTTCTAACCTGAGGCAGCCACCTGCTTCGGAGACTCTCCATCTTCCAGAAAGGAAGTTGAGTGCAAGGCATCCCCAGCAACTCAGTCTTACAGGGCCAAGCCTTCCCAATGATTGAAATTCCTCTAAAAGAGAAAGAATGTCCCAAGAGGTCATCAAAAACAAGCACAGGAAGGCAAGGTATGGAGTCACATAGAAACAGGAAGCCCTAAGAAGATGACTACAGCAAGTAGCAAGCTGAACAAAGCACAGTGAATATTTAGGGACACAATTATGTCACAATCGAGGTTTCCTAATTTTTGAGGAAATAAAAGTACAAACATTTTTACAATTCTTTAACTATATAAGTCATTTTGTTATAAGTGAGTCTAAACAGGAAAAAGAAACAAAACAGAATAAAAGATGAAGTGCCTCTATGGGCAATCTCCTGCCTACCTCGTTCCCTCGACACACCCATGTATTCCTGCACATACATCCAAGCGTACATGCACACACAGGCAGCCTGAGTCACAAGATCATTCTCATGAATTTAGGGTTTAATCTTTCATTCATTTCATGACTCAGGTTTTCTACACGCTTACATGTCTAGATCAAGTCTATTTAGGGGAGTTTGAAATGCAAGGATAATATGTAATAACTAATCACAATCTCTTAATTCTTAATGATTTGTGATGTCTCGTGAGGATTTTTGTACTTAGATTGCCTTTTGCTTATTCCAAGTATGGTAGTTTCCATTATACAAATATATTTGAATATATGTCTTATATATCTGCACTTATCTGATATGCCTACTTGTTCTATTAATAAGGTATTTGCAATCAGAGGCCCACTCACGAATGCCTAGGTACCATGGAAACTTGTTCCTGCACTACTCCTTTTAGCACCTCTTGGGATCTCTGTGTCTGCTACTCCAGTCCAAATAGGCAAGACTCCACAGTGCCTACTTATATTCATGGCTTGTCCAGCAGAAAAAGTTTATATTATTATGTAGGGTTTGTATCTGGTTTTAATTGAATATTAAATGTATACACTCTCGCCAGCCTTTCAATGTTTCCTTAAGATAGAGGAAGTAGTCCCATTATAAAGATAGGGCCACTGAGACAGTGGAAGTTTAATGTCATTACTGTTATGAGTAGATAAGGGTTGAGAGGCACCAGGTTCAAAATGTTAAAAAATAAAAATACAGTCTGTTCTTGGCTTTAGTCACCAGATGGCCTCCTTTCAAAAGCAAACAATCACACAAACAGGTAAAACACAGTCCCCAGAAGACTCTGCATGAACTACTTCCGAGTCTCTGAGAACTACTTCCGAGTCTCTGAGAACTACTTCCAGCTTTCTGAGAACTGCTTTCACTTCGGGTTTTTAGTTGGGGGGCTACACAAGACCAAGAATGTGCCTAACACTGTGGAGGGGAGTGGGAAATAAAATTCCAGAAATGGGGTACTTGACTTTAAAGTCATGTGAGGTCAGTACCAGACAGCTGGGAGGGCTCAAAAAAAGACAGAAAAATATGGGAAAGCTTTGAACTTCCTAGAGACTTCTTGAATGGCTTTGACCAGAATACTTATAATGATATGGATAATGAAATCCAGGCTGAGGTGGTCTCAGATGAAGATGAGGAACTTAGGAGCCGAAGCAAAAATGACTCTTGTTATGTTTTAGCAAAGAGACTGGTGGCATTTTGCCCCTGCTCTACAGATTTGTGGAACTTTGAACCTGAGAGAGATGGTTTAGGGTATCTGGCAGAAGAAATTTCTAAACAGCAAAGCATTCAAGAGTTGATTTGGATCCTGTTAAAAGCATTCAGTTTTTAAAGGAAAACAGAACATAAAAGTTTGAAAAATTTGCAACCTGACAATTGATAGAAAAGAAAATCCCATTTTCTGAGGAGAAATTCAAGCCAGCTGCAGATATTTCATAAGAAACAAAGAAGCAGTTGTAAATCCCCAAGACAATGGTGAAAATACCTCTAGGACATGTCAGAGACTTTAGCAAGCCAATATTCAAATCCAGGAAATACACAGAACACCATAAAAATATTCCTCAAGAAGAGCAACCCCAAGGCACATAATCCATCAGATTCACCAGGGTTGAAATGAAGGAAAAAATGCTAAGGGCAGCCAAAGAGATAGGTCGAGTTTTCCACAAATGGAAGCCTATCAAACAGCAGATCTCTTGGCAGAAACCCTACAAGCCAGAAAAGAGTGGGGGTCAATATTCAACATCCTTAAAGAAAAGAACTTTCAGCCAGGTGCAGTGGCTCAGGCCTGTAATCCCAGCACTTTGAGAGGCTGAGGTGGGTGGATCACGAGGTCAAGAGATTGAGACCATCCTGGTCAACATGATGAAACCCCGTCTCTACTAAAAATGCAAAAAAATTAGCTAGGCATGGTGGCGTGTGCTTGTAATCCCAGCTACTCTGGAGGCTGAGACAGGAGAATTGCCTGAACTCAGGAGGTGGAGGTTGCAGTGAGCCGAGATCATGCCATTGCACTCCAACCTGGGTAAGAAGAGTGAAACTCTGTCTCAAAAAAAAAGAACTTTCAACCTAGAATTTCATATCCAGCCAAACTAAGCTTCATAAGCAAAGGAGAAATAAAATTCTTTACAGACAAGAAATTGCTGAGAGATTTCCTCACCACCAGATCTGCCTTATAAGAGCTTGTGAAAGAAGCACTAAACATGGAAAGGAACAACCAGTACCAGCCACTCCAAAAATGTACCAGATGGTAAAGACCATCAACACAATGAAGAAACTGCATCAACTAACAGGCAAAACAACCAGCTAGCATCAAAATGGCAGGATCAAACTCACACATAACAATATTAACCTTAAATGTAAATGGGATAAATGCCCCTATCAAAAGACACAAACTGGCAAATTGAATAGAGCCAAGACCCATCGATGTGCTATATTCAGGAAACCCTTCTCATGTCTAAGGACACAGGTAGGCTCAAAATAAAGGGATGGAGGAAGACTTACTAAGCAAATGGAGAGGGAAATAGGAGTTGCAATCCTAGTCTCTGATAAAAAGGACTTTATCCAACAAAGATGAAAAGAGACAAAGAAGGGCATTACATAATGGTAAAAGGATCATGGCAACAAGAAGAGCTAAGGGTTATAAATGTATATGTGCCCACAATACAGGAGCACACAGATGCATAAAACACGTTCTTAATGACCTACAAAGGCTCTTAGACTCCTACACAGTAATAGTGGGAAACTTTAACACTCCACTCTCTATATTAGATCAATGAGACAGAAAATTAACAAGCCAGTGCAATCAGGCAAGAAAAAGAAATAAAGGGTATTCAATTAAGAAAGGAGGAAGTCAAATTGCCTCTGTTTGCAGATGACATGATTGTATATTTAGAAAACCCCATCGTCTCAGCCCAAAATCTCCTTAAACTGATAAGCAACTTCAGCAAAGTCCCAAAATACAAAATCAATAAATATGCAGAAATCACAAGCATTACTATACACCAATAACAGACTAACAGCCAAATCAAGAGCGAACTCCCATTCACAATTGCTACAAAGAGAATAAAATACCTAGGAATACAACTAACAAGGAACCTAAGGGACCTCTTCAAGGAGAACAACAAACCACTGATCAACGAAGTAAGAGAGGACACAAACAAATGGAAAAACATTCCATGCTCATGGTTAGGCAGAATCAATATCGTGAAAATGGCCATACTGCCCAAAGTAATTTATAGATTCAATGCTATCCCCATCAAGCTACCAATGACCTTCTTCACAGAACTGGAAAAAAAAAAACCCCTAAACTTCATATGGAACCAAAAAATAGCCTGCATAGCCAACACAATCCTAAGAAAAAGAACAAAGCTGGAGGCATCACACTACCTGACTTCAAACTATACTACAAGGCTACAGTAATAAAAACAGCATGGTACTTGTACCAAAACAGAGATATAGACCAATGGAGCAGAACAGAGACCTCGAATGCAATGCCACACATCTACAACCATCTGATCTTTGACAAATCTGATAAAAACAAGCAATGGGGAAAGGATTCACTGTTTAATAAATGGTGTTGGGAAAACTGGCTAGTCATGTGCAGAAAGCAGAAACTGGACCCCTTCCTGACACCCTACACTAAAGTTAACTCCAGATGGATTAAAGATTTAAACATAAGACCTAATGCCATAAAAACTCTAGAAGAAAACCTAGGCAAAAACCATTCAGGACACAGGCATAGGCAAAGACTTCATGACTAAAACAACAAAAGCATTGGCAACAAAAGCCAAAATAGACAAATGGGACCTAATTAAACTCCAGAACTTCTGCATAGCAAAAGAAACAGCCATTAGAGTGAATTGGCAACCAACAGAATTGGAAAAAGTTTTTGCAATCTACCCATCTGACAAAGGGCTAATATCCAGAATCTACAAAGAACTAAGATTTACAAGAAAAAAAACAAACCCATTCAAAAATGAGCAAAGTGTATGAACAGATACTTGTCAAAAGAAGATGTATAAGGCCAACAAACATGAAAAAATGCTCATCACCACTGGTCATTAGAGAAATGCAAATCAAAACCACGTTGAGATACCATCTCACTCCAGTTAGATGGCAATCATTAAAAAATCTGGAGACAACAGATGCTGGAAAGGATGTGGAGAAATAGGAACACCTTTACACTGCTGGTGGGAGTGTAAATTAGTTCAACCATTGTGGAAGACAGTGTGGCAATTCCTCAAGGATCTACAAATAGAAATTCCATTTGACCCAGCAATCCCATTACTGGGTATATACCCAAAACATTATAAATCATTCTATTATAAAGACACCTGCACACATATGTTCATTATGACTCTGTTTACAATAGCAAAGACCTGGAGCCAACCAAAATGCCCATCGATGATAGACTAGACAAAAAAATGTGGCACACATACACCATGGAATACTATGGGAATACTGTGTCGCCATAAGAAATGATGAGTTCATGTCCTTATAGGGACACAGATGAATCTGGAAATCATCATTCTCAGCAAACTGACACAAGAACAGAAAATCAAACATCACATTTTCTCACTCATAGGTAGGTGTTGAAGAATGAAAACATATGGACACAGGGAGGGGAGCATCACACACTGTATCCTGAGACTTTGCTGAAGTTGTTTATCATGTTAAGGAGTTTTGGGGCTGAAATGATGGAGTTTTCTAAATATACAATTGTGTCATCTGCAAACAGAGGCAATTTGACTTCCTCTCTTCCTATTTCAAAGCCCTTTCTTTCTCTGTTACAATTTCCAAATTATTGTGTGTTTTTGAGTGAGTTTCTTAATCCTGAGTTCTAATTTGATTGCACTGTGGTCGGAGAGACTATTGGTTATGATTTCAAGTTCTTTTGCCCCGAGTGATATAATTTTATAACAGAAAACTTACATCACTTTTTTTTCTTCTTGACTAGCTTCTTTCTACTTGTTCATAAGATTTTCTCCTAATGTAATTTTATTTGCTTAAATGTCTTCTATTGATCACCCTCTCTGTGATAAAATATGTATATTATTTAAATTTTTATATATTTGGTAACTTTAAGTGTTTAAAATTTTTCTCCAGAGTTGGGTTATCCCTATAATTATTAACAAAAAATTTGTCAAAATAACAAATATATTAAAGTTTTTACCTATTATTAAACAAAAGCTTATTAAAAATAGAAATGGCATCTTGCTACATTGCTCAGGCTAGCCTCCAACTCTTTGGCTCAAACCATCCTCCTAACCGCAGCCTCCCAAGTAGATGAGACTATTGCACCCACCTCATAAATGCAATTCCTAAAAAAGAAACTACATCTCTTAATGAGATTAGTGAAGCTTTTAAATTGCTGAGATTTTAATTTCAATTAGTTCATCTATCTTTGGATAAAAATTACTTATGCTAGACTAAGACAGTTTAGGAGCTGTTAAGAATATCTTAGAGGAGAGAGGAGAAGATGGCACTGTAGGACCAACTCAGGATTGCAGCTCCCAGTGAAACCGCAGATGGTGAGTGGATGCCGTATTTCCAGACTGATCTTTATTGCCCACAGACCAGGAGATTCCCAGGTGTAGAAGCCCCATGGGCCACCAGTGCAGCTGTTTGGGCTGGTGCCGCAGCACAGCGGCACTCCGTATAAAATACACGATTTGGTTGCCCTGTTAAACCGGCAATTGGAGATTTCAGAAGGCAGATTAGCACATTCATCTGATTAAACAGGACTTAAACAGAAAGCCAGGCCAGGAGATTCCCGGGCAGCAACGTGGTTCCAGCCAGTACAGTGGGCCGGTGCAGTGGGTCGCTGCACAGGAAATCACACAGATCCCAGTGCCCTTTCAGCAGGTGACTGGAACACCTGGGAGAGAGTCAACTGTCCAACTTAAAAAAAAAAAAAAGGGGGGCTCTGAGGCAGGGAGCCAGGTGATCAGGCTCGGCGGGTCCCACACCCACAAAAACAAACAAAACAGCAATTGGAAATTCTCGGGGTTGAGAGTTTCATGGCAAGCACAGCTGAACCCAGGATGGTGCAGCTTAGAGGGGAAGGGGCGTCCACCATTACTGAGGCACTCAACCCCTACGGAGGTACTCTGCCATTGCTGACACAGCTGCCATTGCCAAGGCAACCTGCCATAACAGAGAGAGTCTGCCACTACAGAGGCAGGCCATCATCACCACAGCAGCTCTAACCACACCCATATAAACAGGACTACAGGGAATTACACACGGCAGCATGGCAGAGCCCATGACAGCAGGGCAGAGCCCACAGCAGCTCAGCATAGCCACTACAGGCAGGCAGTGATTAGACTACCTCCTTGCTGGGCAGGACAGTGCAACAGATACTCATAAAAAAAGCCCTAACTCCCTGAGACAGAGCACCTGAGGAAAAAAGAAGCTTTATGAGTTCTGCTGCAGCAGACTTAAACGTACCTGCCTAGCAGCCCTGAATGAACAACAGAGCTCACAGCTCAGCACTTGAGCTCCTATAAAGTACAGACTGTCTCCTCCAGTATAAAGTACAGACAGCCTCATCAAGCAGCTCCCTGACCCCTGTATATCCAAAGAGTTACCTCACAAAGGACTGATCAGACTGACATTTGGCGGGCATCATTCAGGAACAAAGATAGCAGAAGAAGAATCTGGTAGCAACCCTCATAGTTCTGCAGCTGCTACAGGTGTACCCCAGCTAAGCAGGGCCTGGAGTGGACCTCAGCAGTCCTACAGCAGAGGGGCCAGACTGTTAGAAGGAAAACTAAGAAACAGAAATACTTAATTGTCAACAATCTGGATGTCAACTCAGAGACCCAATTGAATAATCAGCAACTACTCAGATGACAGGTGGATAAATCCACAAAGATGGGAAGAAACCAGTGCAAAAAGAAGGAAAACACCCGAAACCAGAACACCTCGCCTCCTACAAGGGACCACAACTCCTCACCAGCAAGGGAACAAAGCTGGATGGAGAATGAGTGTAATGAAATGACAGAATCATACTTCAGAAGGTGGGTAATGAGAAATTTCCATGGGCTAAAAGAACACGTTCTAACTCAGTGCAAAGAAACTAAGAACCTTGAAAAAAGATTTGAGGAAATGATAACAAGAATGGACAACTTAGGAATATGAGTGAATTGAAGGAGCTGAAAAACACAACACAAGAACTTCGTGAAGCATGCACAAGTTTCAACAGCCAAATTCACCAAGCAAAAGAAAGAATATCAGAAGTCAAAGATCAACTTAATGAAATAAAATGAGAAGCCAAGATTAGAGAAAAAAGCACAAAAAGGAATGAACAAAGTCTCCAAGAAATGTGGGACTATGTGAAGAGACCTAATCTATGTTTAATAGGTGTACCTGAATGTGACAGAAAGAATGAATCCAAGCTGGAAAATACTCTTCGGGATATTATCCAGGAAAACTTCCCCAACCTAGCAAGGCAGGCCAATATTCAAGTCCAGGAAATACAGAGAACACCACAAAGATATTCCACAAGAAGAGCAACCCCAAGGCACATAATCATCAGATTCACCAGGGTTGAAATGAAGGAGAAAATGCTAAGGGCAGCCAGAGAGAAAGGTCGGGTCACCCACAAAGGGAAGCCCATCAGACTCACAGCAGATCTCTCAGCAGAAACTCTACAAGCAAGAAGAGAGTGGGGGCCAATATTCAACATCCTTAAAGAAAAGAACTTTCAACCCAGAATTACATATCCAGCCAAACTGAGCTTCAGAAGTGAAGGAAAAATAAAATCCTTTGCGAATAAGCAAGTACTCAGAGATTTTGTCACCACTAGGCCTGCTTTACAAGAGCTCCTGAAAGAGGCACTACACATAGAAAGGAACAACCAGTACCAGCCATTCCAAAAACATAACAAATGCTAAAGAGCATGAACAAAATGAAGAATATGCATCAAATAACAGGCAAAACAGTCAGCTAGCATCAAATTAGCAGTATCAAATTCACACATAACAATATTAACCCTAAATGTAAATGGGTTAAATGCACCAATCAAAAGATACAGACTGGCAACTTAAATAAAAAGCCAAAACCCATCGGTGTGCTGTATCCAGGAAATCCATCTCACATGCAAGGATACACAAAGGCTCAAAATAAAGGGATGGAGGAAGATTTACCAAGCAAATGGAGAGCAAAAAAAAAAGCAGGAGTTGCAATTCTCATCTCTGATAAAATAGACTTTAAAGCAAAAAGATCAAAAGAGACAAAGAAGGACATTACATAATGGTAAAAGGATCGATACAACAAGAAGAGCTAATGATCCTAAATATATATGGACCCAATACAGGAGCACCCAGATATATAAGGCAAGTTCTTAATGACTTACAAAGAGACTTAGACTCCCACACAATAACAGTGGGAGACTTTAACACTCCATTGTCAATATTAGACAGATCAACCAAAGAGAAAATTAATAAGGATATCCAGGGCTTGAACTCAGACCTGAAACAAGCAAACCTGACAGACATTTACAGAACTCTCCACCCCAAATCCACAGAATATACATTCTTCTCAGCACCACATCACACCTACTCTAAAATTGGCCACATAATTGGAAGTAAAGCACTCCTTAGCAAATGCAAAAGAATGGAAATCATAACAAACAGTCTCTCAGACCATAGTACAATCAAGTTAGAACTCAGAATCCAGAAACTAACTCAGAACTGCACAGCTTCATGGAAACTGAACAACTGGCTCTTGAATGTTGACTGGATAAACAATGAAATGAAGGCAGAAATAAAGAAGTTGTTCAAAACCAATGAGAATGAAGACACAACATACCAGAATCTCTGGGACACATTTAAAGCAGTCTCTAGAGGAAAATACGTAGCAGTAAGTGCCCACATGAGAAGAGTGGAGAGATCCAAAATTGACACCCTATCATCAAAATTGAAAGAGCTAGAGGAACATGATCAAAAACACTCAAAACCTAAAAGAAGACAAGAAAAAACTAAGATCAGAGCACAACTGAAGGAGATAGAGACACAAAAAACCCTTCAAAAAAAAAAATCAATAAATCCAAGAGCTGGTTTTTTTAAAAAGATCAACAAAATAGACAGACCACTAACCAGATTAATAAAAAAGAAGAGAGAGAATAACCAAATAGATGCAATAAAAAACAATAAAGGGGAAATCACCACAGATTCCACAGAAATTCAAACCATCATCAGAGAATATTACAAACAACTCTATGCACAGAAACTAGTAAACATGGAAGAAATGGATAAATTCCTGGACACTTGTGTCCTCCCAAGCCTAAACCAGGAGGAAGCCAAAACTATGAATAGACCAATAACAAGGTCTGAAGTTGAGGCAGCAATTAAGAGCCTACCACACAAAAAAAAGCCCAGGTCCAGATGGGTTCACAGCCAAATTCTACCAGACACACAAAGAGGAACTGTTACCATTCCTTCTGAAACTATTCCAAATAATCCAAAAAGAGGGAATCCTTCCCAAATCATTTCATGAGACCAACATCATCCTGATACCAAAACCTGGCAGAGACCCAACAAGAAAAGAAAACTTCAGGCCAATATTCATGATGAACATAGATGCAAAAATCTTCAATAAAATACTGGCAAGCCAATTGCAACAGCACATCAAAAAGCTTATCCACCATGATCAAGTAGGATCCATCCCAGGGATGCAAGGCTGGTTCAACATACACAAGTCTATAAACGTAATTCACCACATAAACAGAACCAAAAACAAAAACCACATGATTATCTCAATTGATGCAGAGAAGGCTTTTGACAAAATTCAACAGGCCTTTTTGCTAAAAACCCTCAATAAATTCGGTATTGATGGAACATATCTCAAAATAATAAAAGCTACTTATGACAAACCAACAGCCAATATCATACTGAATGGGCAAAAACTGGAAGCATTCCCTTTGAAATACGGGACTAGAGAGGGATGCTCTCTCTCACCACTCCTATTAAATATACTACTGGAAGTTCTAGCCAGAGCAATCAGGCAAGAAAAAGA